TAGGGAAATCCTTCTGCGCCAGATAGGACCCTGCCAGAAGCCCTTTGCTTCTCCACACCATGGCTGAGCTCTCGGGCTTTGCAGCCCTGTTTCTGCCGAACACGTGTGGAGCTCTGTGAGGTTTCTTCTCTCTGTGCTTGCCATCCCAAGCACAGTGTTTCCTGCGTACGTGGAAACATCTTGTTTAAAAGGTAGGGAATTTTGAATGTGGCCACCACAGAAACATCTCTAGACCTTCGTTTCCAGATGCAGTGCCTCTGTAGGGTGCCAGCATCCAGCCTGTCATACCCATCCCGCTGCTGTGCTACCCCTTTTCTCTGCAGAAGAAAACTTGGGAATTGTCACTTATCCACAGTTTTCAGGAAATCAGAATTTCAGTTTTTCATGGATCTCCATTTTGGACTCTGGGTCTGAAGACAACAAAATTTCCTATGAATTACTAAGTGTACACACGTTCCTTTATATGAACTCCTGAAGACCCGTATTGCATAAAACCATTGAGGAGTAAACAGCAGGGGATCCGGATCGCAGAGATACTATGAGGGTTAAAAGTTTACAAGCATTTGCCATCATCCCATCTCAGAACTAACAAATCACCCAAGGGTGATATTTTTAAGGCAAATTTATTTATATGTGCAATTTCCGATGGTCCTCCCTGTTGCTTCACGCAAAACTTCTGTAAATCAGCAGACCCTGAAAAAGTCTAAATTTTGTTCTGAACCTTTTGCTGAAGATTCCTGCTGGAAAAAGGCAGCTGAGGATGTCACTCGCTTCCTGCAGTATCGCAGTCTTCTCCGTATCTACACCGACCACCAGGCAGTGGTTTCAGGTTTAGACTTCATGAATTCAAGCAATCAAGCAATGCGAAGCAAGGAAATTAAGGCTGCCCGGGGAAGCGCTTGAATCACCATCCCTGGAAGTATTTAAAAGACATGTAGACGTGGTGTCTAGGGGCACGGTGTAGTGGTGGACTTGGCAGTTAGGTTTACAGTTGGATTCGATGATCTTAAAGGTCTTTTCCAACCTAAAAGATCCTATGATTCTAATATCAGCTATAAGTTGTGTAGCGCTCATGTTTCAGATGATGTATATGATTCTGAGCTCCCAGGGGATGTTTCCTATCCAGAGCATCAGCTGGAAAACAATCCTTTCATTCTTTGAAAGGCTTCAGAACAAAGCTGCGACTAGTTCTGCATTCTTCCACCACAACTCGATGCAGATAGCGTAAGAACAGGGCGAACACGCACGATATTTCTTCCAGAAAGTCTTCCAGCCTCCATCCGTTCCCAGCTCAGATGATTTGCTAAGCCAGAAGGGTCCCATGTGTTCAGTAAAGGGAAACTTTTAGTCACTACGATGTCCCCACGATATGACATTTCACAGCTCGTGGACAGAAACAGCACTTTGGGGCTGCATTTCTTCTGGCCTGTTCTGGATGTGTACTTAGGCTGAAAAAAACATGTCCAGAAGTGCTTCTCTCTTCCCTCGGAGAGGAAGGAGTCTAAGTGACGGAAACACCCACTTTTGATCAGATGATCTTCACTACCATGGAAAACCAGCTCCTACTCTCCACCGGAGACTCAAGCACGCAGCTGGCCAAGAGCCATCCAGTGACCTTCCTTCACACTGGGGCTGCTGACGTGTGAGATACCAAACATAACTCATCAGCTTGGCCAGGATTTGCATTTTATCAGGAAGATTGGCCAGCTCAAGCTGATTCACAGAAGTTTATCATGTAGGTTATGAGCACACAGATTTCCTTATTTTCTGCCAGCCTGCCTGGCTTTCCTGGGCTTCCTCCTGGCCAGCCAGCTTTCACCTCCCCACAGCCATTTCACTCGTCCTTGGAGATGGGTCACATCCTCACCAAAGCCACCTTGACCGTCACCCCTCTCCATCCTGGAGTCTCGCTGGCAGCGGGGCTAGAGCCAGCACGGAGGGGACGGGTTTTGGTGGGTGTCCTTGCGGTAGGGAAGCTCATCTGGTGGGACCCTCTTGCTGCTGTCGCCCACTCCAACATCACATCGTCACTGACGACCTTCCCAGTCCCTCTGGTGCCAGGCAAGATTTTGTGATCAAAAAGGTTGTTGGTTGTTTTTTTTTTTTTAATCACTAAAGTGTTCAGAATCGGAAGAAAAAGAGAACAGAAACTTGAGAGGGGATGTAGGAAGCACCTGCAAAAGAAGAGTTGAACATACAGAAGCAAGATTAAGTTTTTTTTACTGTTTTAGCAGTTTAAGCACCCGTTGAGATGGGGACATATTGCCCAGCACCCTCAAGGGCATCTGTTAAACAAGATGTCCATGTTTCAGGCTGGTATAAAAGATCGCTTCCTCCCTGGAGGGTGAGGATGGGAGGGCAGCGACCAGCGTTCTCTCTGCCTGTTCTCTGCCACGCTGAATGTGCCGCCTCTCCTGGTCCCCCCCACTCCACTTCTCCCATCCGCCAGCAAAGCAGGGGCACTTTGGATCCTCTCCCCAAAACAGCAGGATGACATGAAAGTCTCCAGCCTTTGCCTGATTTCCTCAGCTCATAAATCCTCCAGGGCACAGTCCCTCCCGGTGGGAAGATGACCTTTTACAAAACTCTTATACTACCAACACTTTTCTGAGCCTGGTTTAACGTGGTGAGCTTTGCACCAGGGCTAAACGTGTTACCTGAAACAGTGAAATCCAGGCTGACGAGAGGGTTGTCGGAAACCTTTCCTCCTCCCAGCCTGGTCTTCCTCCTCCAAACATCCCTCAAGCACCATCTGGGTGTCCATCCAGGCCACCTCCATGGTCGTCTTTAGATAGCTTTCTGGTGAAGCTTGGCCACAGCCAGCCCTCCCTGCCAACCCTGGTGTTAGAAAGCAGCTGGATGAAGACGTGGTGCTGTCCACCAAGCGGTCTCCATCACCAGCGCCTCCACCTTGCCACCCTCGAGAGGGAAGTTGGGAGCTTAATTTCAGGCTCGTTGACCCAAACGTTGGGTGAGCGATGACCAGATCCAGCCAACTTGTACTGTGTGTTGCAGGAAACAGCGGCCTGGGGATGTACCACGGCAAGTTCACCTTCGACACCTTCA